GCCTTTTTATAGATCTCCTTCTTTGTTTCCTCATCATCATGGGTATGGTTATACCCTTATGTTTATTTGTTGTTTTTAAAGCACTTTGGATCTCTGTGTCAAAAAGGTGCTGTATAAATAAAGCTTTACTTACTTACTTACAGTGAGGCAGATTCTGTTTCTGTTTCTCATGTCTGGTTTTCTCTGTCTCAGCCAATCTTTCGTTATCTATCACTTCTCTCAGACCAGTCAGGAAATGGGCGTATGTGGTTTAAATGAGTTTTGAAACTGATACTAAAACCAGTGTTTGCTTTCAGATTATTGTACAAAAATTGTTGCAGTGAGGAATATCACAATGTAAAATTACATCTGAAAGTACCCATAGAGAGCCCTTAGACCACTGGTTCCCAACCTGGGGGTCGGACCCCTACTAGGGGTTGCCAAAGTTCATGAGGGGTTGCAAAGCCTTCTTGATTTTAGGGGTGCAAGAAAATAAAAATATTCACAGTAGGCATATATCAGCATTTCATTAATTTCAGTGAGAAAAAATATCATTGTTTTTAGATTATTATTTAAGATATAAACGTATATAAACAAAATCTCACATTATAGGGCAATGTGAAGATCTGGGTTATTCATAGAGATTATACTGATTACTGGATGGAATGAATTCAGTTACTGGGGGTGAATCTAATCTGCTCTATGCCAAAACATTATTCTGAATAGCCACAACTTCCACTGGGACATTACACTGATGAAAACATACCTATGAATATTATATTCCATTTCGGACAATAGATCCTCCTAAATGTTACACACTGGACTTTTAAATAATTTCATTAATAAAATAAAGAAGATTTTTGACTTCAGTGACATCATTTTAGTCCACCTGGCATGTTTTGGCCAATCATCATAGTTTAATAAGGGCAACCTATGACACTATGATGAAGTAGGTCATCATTTTTTTTTTTTTTTTTTAGTAAGCTTAAACCTCAAAGGTAGAGCTGACTGTTAAATATTTTACTGAAAGGGGTATGCCACAAACAACACACAAATCACCACCACCAAAACACCTTTCCTTTGTATTGTCCTGTAAGGTATTTGCTACCTTAAAATAAGTATTATAACACACACTTCTGTTTGACATTTCAGCATTAACGGAGGGGAGTTGTTTGACTTCATTGCTGCAAAGGATAACTTGCTGGAGAGTGAGGCCATTGAGTTCATGAAGCAGATCCTGGAGGGACTGGGATTCATGCACAGCAAGAACATTGCCCACTTTGACCTCAAGGTGCCAGCAAACCGACCGGAATTACTTCTCTGAGTTACTTTATTGAGACACGACTGTGACTTGTGAGCTTTGACATTAAAATATATGCTTCCACTTTAACAACATTATTGTCTCTATTCAGCCAGAAAACATCATGCTGGCAGACAAAGTGTCACCACAGCACAACGTCAAACTCATCGACTTTGGCCTGGCCCACCATTTTAATCAGGGGGAGGAGTACAGGAGCACAAGTGGGACCCCACAGTACATTGGTGAGGATGAATAGTCCTTTATTTGACATGATGTTCTCATTTAACATATTCAGTCACTCATAAACATGCATCATTCATTTGTTAACAAGGCTTTTATAGTATTGTATTTATAAAAGGCAGACTCAATGTAGAAAGATAGACATAGTAGCAACTGGAACCCTGTGTGGGCACCACCGGGAGCCAGCCATTAGCGTGGAAGCCTTCAAACACTGCTCATGCTGGCGTTGTGTCAAAGCCTTACCCCACTGGGCATGGCCACAATGCGTTCCGGTCCACGGTTGCTGCAGCTAACTACAACCGTTCTAGACATTGCTTAAAATTCCACAAGAAACCAGTGCCGTGACCCAGAAGTGTCTCTTCGCTCTGCTCCACGTAGAATATGCGGCTGGTTTAAGCAGCACAGAGCAGATCGCACTGGCAGGAAGTCAGATACACGAAAGGCATAGGGAATTCGCTCCGTTTTAAAAATAAAATACAGCATGGAAACTCCGAATGCTACATCAACTCTATGACACCAGGCGAGAAGTCAGTCAGTCAGGGGCAGGTTTGAGGAGATTTTAAGCAGAGAAACACAGATTTCTATCCTTTTTAAGGACAAAATATGCAAGTAAACAAGGTCGGGCAGGCAACACGCTCTAAAGACACTTGGCTTCTGAAACGCTATCGGTAGGATTTAAAGGTGCGCATCGCAGAGCCTAACCGCCGACATCATGAAGCCGTGCCCGGCTAAAATCAACATAGTCACCAACACTGTCATAATACAATACATACATACAAGTTTAATCATGGGTCATGGGTC